ATAAGGCATCTGTGGAGGATGGAAAGGGTGCTTATTGTACCTGTTGTTCTCTCCTGTACAGGTGTGATACCACACACACTACACAAAAGCCTGGGAACATTACAATTGAATAGAAATACATACATCACACTACAGAAGGCCACTATATTGAATACATGCCACATTGTTAGGAAATTCCTGAATACTGACACTGACACTGACACTGACACTGACACACTTATTTAATTTTAGTTTTGTTTTGGTTGCTATGCCTTGACTCTGGTCCGGCATAGTACACAGCCACCGGTTTAACCGAGTATTACCCACTGAACCCAACACAATAATAATAATAATAATAATAATAATTTTTCATTCAACTCCACAGTCTAGTGAGTTGATACCAAAATTAGAAGAATTGGGACAAGTTATGGATGGTTTTAGACGGTCATTTGAATATATTCAAGATTACGTCAGCATATACGGACTAAAAATCTGGCAAGAAGAAGTGTCTCGTATTATAAATTATAATATAGAACAAGAATGCAATGCTTTTCTCAGGCATAAGGTAATTAGAATTTAGAACTTATTTTTATACTAGATGTTTTTATAAGGTATAGCAAATTGCAGCAATGAATTTTGTAAATCAAAACAAAAACATGTTTGAATAAATTAATATTTGCAAGTATTTCCATAATAGTCTAGTCAGAGTATTAAAAAATTGCACTATATAATAATGCTATCACACATTTTAATATATTGCCCAACATATTTTTAAGAACACCAAATATAATGCATAATTAGATAAAAAATGATGTCATTCCATGGCTGATGTATTTAATGTTTAGCTTTAGCATGGTTTACAAAATGGTGTCCCCATATCAAACTGCATTACAATCAAATAGTGAACTATTATTTGATTTTTGACAGCTGAAAGCAGTCACTTACAAATTAATGAATCCATTGCCGATTGTATGCACAGTATGTAGAGTTATGCATATCACTTCAAAAGCCTTGCCAAGTGGATTCGTAAGTTTAAGGAAAACCAAACAAACATAAGCAATGAACCATGTAGACTTTTGTACCTAAGCTTTTTGTGTGTACATTCTGCCAAAAATCAAATAACAACTTACTGTTCAATTATGAGCAAGGCTTTTTTAAACCATGTAGCAGATGCAAATGCCACCTAACAGGGATGACTGTTGATACAGGTTATATTGCTGTATACAGTCACTATTATTAGTCTCTATCTACACTACATTAATTTTCTTTAACAGTGCTACTAACCTTATTTACTTAATCTGCCTCATAATATATTCATTTTATTCACCATGATTAATTAACATTCGTAAACACATTTTTACTATAAGTATGTTATAAAAAAATTATAACTTTAATTTAGTGTTTAATTTAATTTTATTTAAATATTTGTTGAAATATTAATTGCAGGTTCAAGATTGGCAGAGCATCTATCAGTCTCGAACCATTCCAATTCCACGATTTCCATCTTTAGACAATGTCTCAGTGAACTTTATCGGTCGTTTAGCAAGAGAGATTTTGAGAATAACTGATCCAAAGTAATGAAAAATATTTTAATATTAGTTATATATAATTTCTTTTATATTAATTATGAATTTTAATTTACAGAACAACCATATATTTAGACCAAATGAGTTGTTGGTACGATTCCAAGACTAAAAACGAAATTATAAATTTGAGATTGTTTTCTCTTATTCAGGTACAAGAAAAATTTTTATGTATATTATTTATTGCGTAGTTTTATGATTATTATTAAGGAAAATATCGGTTTCAGAAAACTGTGGGCACTCCTGGATTGACCGGATTGGATAGACTACTTTCGTTTATGATCGTAACTGAATTACAAGGAGTGTTAAAGTTAATAGAAAAAATAGTGATAAAGGATAAATCTTGGCAGGATACTTTGGATAATTTACAAAATGCTTTACATCCAGTTTCAGGCATTTTATGTAAGTATATTAATTTTTCATTTGTTAAAATATAAAGATTTGAAATGAGATGTAATTAAAATTTAGTTGTAACAATTAGTATTTCAAAATTTTGAGATACACGATTAACAATTAGAAAACTAATGAGTGAGAAATGATAAAAATGTTACCAAAAACTGCATGCATCACTTCCTGAATCCATTGTCTCAATAATTATTTAATTAAGTACAGTCGACCCCCCCCCTATAACACAGGTTCCTATAGTTCAGATTCCTATATGACGGCGAAAAAATTGCGATGGTATCCGTACAAACATGGTAAAAAACTCCTATAATTTGGTAAAATGTCATCGGGCAGCCGAACTACTTTCCATCGTCCAGCGCTACACTACGGAGAGTTTAGGCGATTAAATTGAGTTTACTATCGTCTGTACAGTATTATATATAAATTAGGTACTGTACATATAATTATATATAAATTAGGTACTGTATATATAATTATATATTAACTTAATTTATTGTAACTTTATTATAATTATATATATACTTTCCGCCATCCAGTGCCACGCTATGGAGAGTTTAGGCGAGTAAGTTGAGTTTACTATCGTCTGTACAGTATGTAAATTAGGTACTGTAAGTCTAATACAGCACTAAATTTTTACATTTCTTGTGAAAGAAACATTTCTTATTCAACGGCCATAAAAATTATTTATATTAATGATGTCTCCAAAGTTCAACGAAGTTTTCGCAGAAAAATAATATCAGAAATCGCGGCCGCGGTTTGCTGAGTTGTTCCGCGACGAAAACAAGCTTGAGCAATGGCTACGTCGAATGGTGCACACTCGGTAAGTAATCCTACAATTTTTTGTTTATAGCATAGTTTATACGGATTATTCCC